AATGTTTGCGGCTGTTTCTCCTTACCTTGAGCCATGCCCTATCAGTGAATGAAGAGCCCGTAGGTTCCAGACCCACAACCTTGACTACTTTCATGTCACCATGGTGACTACTTTGAGAAAGCAGCAGCTCTTTTTTTTTAAATCATTTTATTAGGGGCTCATACAACTTTTTTTTTAAGTTACAGTGATGTTTATTTTATTTATTTATTTATTTTAATTGTTTTTTATTTTATTGGGGGCTCGAACAATTCTTATCCCAATCCATACATACATCCTTGTGTCAAGCACATATGCACATTTGTTGCCCTCATCATTCTCAAGACATTTGCCTTCCACTTTAGCCCCTAATATTAGTTGCTCGTTTTCCCCCTTCTCCCTCCGCCCACCTCCCCCAAGAACCCTTCATAATTCTTAACTTATTATAGTTTTGTCATAAGTTACACTGTCCGACATTCCTCCCCCACCGCCCTCTTCTCTGCTGTTCCTCCCCCAGGGAGGAGGCAATACTTAGATGGGGCTCATACAACTCTTATCACAATCCACACATACATCAATTGTGTAAAGTACACTTGTACATTCATTGGCCTCATCATTCTCAAAACATTTGCTCTCCACTTAAACCCCTGCTATCAGCTCCTCATTTTTCCCCTCCCTCACCACTCCCTCTTCCCTCATGAACCCTTGATAATTTATAAATTATTATTTTGTCATGTCTTGCACTGTCTGATGTCTCCCTTCACCCACTTTTCTGTTGTCCATCCCCCAAGGAGGAGGTTATATGTAGATCCTTTTAATTGGTTCCCCCTTTCCAACCCACCCTCCTTCTACCCTCCCAGTATCAACACTCTCACCACTGGTCCTGAAGGGATCATCTGCCCTGGATTCTCTGTGTTTCTAATTCCTATCTGTACCAGTGTACATCCTCTGGTCTAGCCAGATTTGTAAGGTAGAATTGGGATCATGATAGTGTGGGGGAGGAACCATTTAAGAACTAGAGGAAAGTTGTATGTTTCATCTTTGCTACACCACACCCTGGCTGGCTCGTCTCCTCCCCGAGAGGAGATGTCCAGTGGCCTACCAATGGGTTTTGGGTCTCCACTCCACAATCCCCCCTCATTCACAATGATATGATTTTTTTGGTCTGATGATGTCTGATACCTGATCCCTTCGGCACCTCATGATCGCGCAGGCTGGTGTGCTTCTTCCATGTGGGCTTTGTTGCTTCTGAGCTAGATGGCCGCTTGCTTATCTTCAAGCCTTTAAGACCCCAGACACTATATCTTTTGATAGCCAGGCACCATCAGCTTTCTTCGCCATATTTGCTTATTCACCCACTTTGTCTTCAGCGATTGTGTTGGGAAGGTGAGCATTATAGAATGCCAGTTTAATAGAACAAAGTATTCTTGCATTAAGGGAATACTTGAGTGGAGGCCCAATGTCCAACTGCTACCTCAATACAAAACCTATAAATATATGCGCATAGATCTATTTCCCCATCCTCATATATAAATATATTTACATATGTACATGCCTTTATTTATATAAATAAATCTATAAATGCCCTTTGCCTCCTAGCTCTTTCCTCTATTTTCTTTGACTTTCCTCTTGACCCACTATCATGCTCTATGTTCGTTTGGGTTTCAATCATTCCTCTAGGTTACATTACCCTTGATCACAGCCTACCAGGCCTCCTACACCTTCCTCACCACTGATTTGGATCACTTGTTGTTCCCTTGTTCCTGGGTTTGTTAACACCACTTCCTTTCCTCCCACCTCTCTCTCTCCCATGTCCCCTCGGAACTGTCAGTCATGTTTTTTTCTCCTCCAGATTGTTGATCCGCCTATCTTATTTAGACAGACCGAGAAAGCAGCAGCTCTTCAGTCACATTTCCAGTGGCTTCTTATCCAAGGGGCCCATCTTTGAGCATTATCTCTGACAATGATCTGTTTCCATTCATTAGGTTTCAGTATCTGACAATGTTTTCATGTGACGTATAAGGTTCAGTGGCTACTTCTTCCAAAGTGTACAGCCAATTCCTTGTTTATAGTCTGTTCTTAGTCTGGAAGCTCCACTGAAACCTGTCCACTTTGGGTGACCCTGCTGGCATTTGAAATACTAGTTGACATAGCTTCCAGCTTCACATCAACACACAAGTCACCATAGTATGGCAAACTAACAGACAAGTGGTGGATGAAAGTTGTAGGGGTTGGCAAATCTGAGATCTGTTGATCAGCAGCAAGTTAGAGATGCCTACAGGCTTATAGCTCAAGAACAGATGTCAGATGATAAGAAAAGTGCAGTGTCAAAAGACAAATCAAACTGCTGGAACATGCATTCATATGGAGTTAAGCCACCCTCTCAGGGAAACTCCCCTTTCACCTGATCATAAAACAGAAGAAGATTACATTTGGAAAAGCACATGTCAAGCTACTGAGAATGGCAGCCTGCCTTTACAACAGGGGAACCTGAGTGAGATGGACTGCTATAAAGCTCCTTTGATGCTGAGGAAGGACGCGGGAGCCAGCAGTGTTTCAGTTTGTTGAACGTAGCACATTGTGAGTAGGAATCAACTCAGTGGCCACTAAAAGCAGCCCTATACGACCCTTTTTATTTATCAAAATTATATTTAACTAATCGCTAAAATACCATATATACTCAAGCATAAGCCAACCTGATTATCAGCTGGGGCACCTAATTTTACCACAAAAACTGCATTAAAAATGTTCTGGAAAACTCAGCTTATACACAAGTATATACAGTAGCTAATAATTATCTTCCCCACAAAGCTTAACATCTATCAGGATACGACCATTTCCTACTTTTTATTTGGTTTTGTTTTTCTTTTGCAGTAACATCTGGCCTTGTTCTTACCTTTTAATAATGTGCACTCAAATTTTATTTATTTATTTAACAGATAAACCTGTGGTGCATCGATGTACTTTGAACTCCTGAAATTGTGTGCAAAATTGTATTTGAATGTGTATGTTTATGAGTAAAAGGTCTATGGCATTTATTTCCAAGAATACCAACTAAGAATCACTAAAAGAAACAATAATAATATTGGACCAAATGCAGTGAAAGTACAGAAGCTAACCAGCGATATTGCTACTTAAAGTATGGTGTGTAGATAGTATCAGTTTACCTGCAATCTGTCAAAATGAAAATTCTCAGGCCCTCTCCAGGCTGCCACAATGGGTCCAAAGAGAATAGCAATTGTGAGGCTAGGGCCAGACCAATCAGTGTTCAATCCTGTTGTAAAACACAGAACCAATTGAACGGCATCCAACAACAACACTCCAGACTGAGTCAAAACTTCGGGAGGTAGGACCAGAAATGTGTACTTTAATAAGCTATTTAGATGATTCTTACACATGCAAAGTTTTTACGGCACTGGTTTAGAGGAAGGAGCAATACCAGTTCCAATAATTTATATAACCTTGCTGGTCAAGTACTTCAAGAAGACCTGGTAGCATGGTGGGTTATGTGTGGGGCTGATAACCACAGGGTCAGCAGTTTGAATTCATCAGCTATTCTGCAAGAGGAAAATAAAGTTTTCTGCTCCCATAAGGATTTATAGCTTTGGAAACCCATAGGGGCAGTTCTACTCTGTCCTATAGGGTTGCTATGAATCAAAATCACTGCATGGCAGTGAGTTTGCGTTTTGCTGTTGGGTCAAGTACTTTATCTCATTTGTCCTGTATAGCCAATAAAGCCTCCTTCATGACAAATATGCATATCTAGAGATTCTTTATTATTATTTTATTTTTGGATTACATACCTTGGCCTGAATAAAAAGGTAGAGACCCAAAACTAGTCATTGACGATTTGTGGTCATGTTTGTAAAAGTAGCAATTATCTTAACAAAGTCACAGCCTAAATGAGTCTTTGCCAATAGTATGTAGATCCAAAGAATTAGTTGGTCAGAGAGGATGTACACTGGTACAGATAGGAACTGGAAATACAGGGAATCCAGGGTGGATGATCCCTACAGGACCAGTGGTGTGAGTGGCGATACAGGGAGAGTAGAGGGAGAGTGGGTAGGAAAGAGGGAACCGATTACAAGGAACTATATGTGACCTCCCTGGGGGACGGACAAC